CTAGTATCCTAAAAGCTACCGATATTACCTTAACAGTTGTCTGGGTTGTGTAAAGAAGCTGGCAGATTTAAGTATCACTAGGCATCTCCTAAAGGAGATAAACCTGTTCTGAGAAACCAAATTATTAAGAGGACTTTCCTTGGCTGTTAAAAAGGTTCCAGTCTTGCTCTCCATCTGAGCTAGATGCTTTGACATTGCTTTCAGTAAAATGAGAATGGAGTTACTATTGTTAGATCTTGTGGCTGCCTGGCACATCTTGAGTATGGCAGGACTGTAACTGGGCTTTAGTGTACAAGCTGATGTTCGTTGGATACAATTTTTTTTTTCATATTTTTTATTTATCTATTTATTTAGACAAGAGTCTAACTCCCATATCCTACGCGTAGGAGTGACCTATGGTAGGTGCCAAGAGAAGAGTACAGAAAAGCAGAGAAAATATACTGTGATATTTTCCTGGGGAATTCTGCTTGTAACCTTAAGCTGATGATGTATCCTCTTAGCCTCATTTCCTATATTCAGATGGGTTCCGTAGGTGAGGATCTTCTCTTTTATCCTGTGGTACCATAACTTCTTTGGAAGTCTTTTAAGAGACACCTTGCAAAACTAGTTGTGGAACTCCAAGTGGATTCATCACCTGGATCTTCTTGTTCATTTGCTTCAGAGAACTTTGAAGAACTTTAAATAGATTTGCAAGGCGTGACTTTTCTTACAAAAGCTGTGTTACAACTTAGCCAGTATATCTTCTTTATGACTGCTAATTCTGTTCTCTGTTACAGTTTTCCATCCATTTGTCTGGGTTGCTGGGTTGCTTGTCTGTAGTTTTCTGTCCTTTGTGTCTCCTGATGACTCCCGGTCAAAGTTCCGCAGTGAACAAAGGACACTGTATGTTGATCATCTGCTGAGTAGTTTCTTTGGCTTGGTCTGGTGTTCAACAGTAGGCAACACAAAGAAAGGTCTCTCTCTTCTGCTGGCAGTGCAAGAGTGTGTCCTGGGTGCTCTCTTGGTGGCAGCCCTGGGAGGCTGCCACAGAAGGGAAGGAGATGCTGGTTCACGGTCTGTTTCCGCATGTCTGCATTTGCCATGGAGCCTGTTCTACAGTCAGCCGTAATAAAAGTCACCATCTTTGTTTCCACTGTGGTACTGAAACTCTGTCCACACGGTGGTCAAAGGGTATCATTTGACATTTCATGTTTTGTAATTTTCAGTGTAGAAAACATTTAACAATCTAGGGGTTTTAATGGTATTTAGCATAAGCAGAGCCACCTTACAGCCATTTTACAAAACATCCTTTAAGTTTTATACTTTTCTGCTTCAATACAGAGAAATTTCTCACCACCTTAGACTCTTGCCCTTTCATATTTCCTAGGTTTTTTTAAAGGAGATTGTCCTTAACATTTTTTTTTTCTTCTCTTTCTCCTTATAAAATCTTGTGATATGCAAGGTGTGGTTTTGCAGTAGGCAGCTGGAAAAAAGTGATCAGTATTAACTGATGCATGAGGAAAGGTGAAGTATTGATACATCTAAGGTTTCTGTACTTTCTTCTCTTTTGAACTATGTTTTGCCATCTTACAAGTACTCTTTCACTGTTTAACTGTTTCTTTCTTTATGTTTCTTTATCCCTAAGCTATGTTTTTAATTGAACTAGAAATTGCATCCTCTTGCATCAAATACAGTACTTTCATTAGTCAGAGGTGATTATCAGAATTTTTCAGAGTTTTTGTGGCACATGTGATTGATATATGGAATATTGAAAAGAAAGTTCTGCTGGACAGCCATTGCTACTGAGCCACAACTTTCCATTCTGTCAGCTCCAGCCTGACTTTGATCTTCACATTCCAGGGGAATACAGCAAGATAGCACAAACCATGTTTTATTCCTTACTCTTTAGATTCCCCTCACCGCATCCCTCTATGTTTTTCCAGCTATTTTTAGATTCTTGTGTCCTTGCCTCCTTAGAGCTATTTTGGGTAAAAATCACTTAAGTTTCCTATGAAATTTGCATGAGAAATACTGCAGGACAAGACCCAGATAAGCACCTCCTGCAGAATACTAATTTATACTCCTGTTCATGTGTATGTATATATAATATATGAAATTGCCATTATGTGTTCTACTGGCTAGAGCCAGGGGTAGCTGTCAGCAGACCTGAATCTCTAAAATCTCGTTCCAAGGCTGTAGCTTGGTCTTAGTAAGTTTCTTAACCTCCCCCATCCTTAGTTTCCTTACTCAGGAATAAACAGTATTAACTTGTCTTTCTGAGGTGCTTTAACACTTTGGATGGAAGGTTTTCTCAAAGTGCATCGTGTTTTTGCTTTGTATGGTGATGCTGTTAGCTGGGCATCTTGCAACCATTGTGCCAAAATAACAGAAAGCAATGCTTGCATTTTTCTGTTCTTAGTTGGAGATTTTCTTTATCATTCTGAATTCCAGTTGCACGTATCATGGCATAAGAGCTGTTGTGGAAGATGGCAAAGCTGAGCTACAGGAGTGTGTGGACCACACCTGAACGAGACGTAAACAGTGCGTGGCAGTAATGGGGTAAGATTGTGTGGCTATAATAGCGCAGAAATGTATATAAATTACAGAGGCCGTTAATATGTTTTGGAGAGCTTTAAGGACTTTAGCTGGTTGAAAGTTGTCGTTCACGATAAAGCAGAACTCATAGCTTCCTTAATGGTTCTCGTGACCTGTTCTCTGGAGGAGTAAGATTTGGAAAGCCCCAGTTTGAGCCAGAAAAAGGAGACATAGTAACCGCTAGCCTAAAAAACAGGAAGGAGAAAGAACCCTCCTAGAGAAGAGAAAAAGGAGCCAGCGAGAGAGAGAAGACCCCAGACCCAAACATTACTATTGGACCAGACACTGGTGTGAGGGGCAGGAACTTAGATTGCAAGGGTGGAACTGCCCATGGAATTTAGTGTTTGGGTTCCTGCTCCAGAGGCACCCAGCTCGAGCTGTCTAAATTTGTGCTTTTTATTTTGAAGGCCTTAATTAGAGATTCTACGTTGGGGAACCTAGGGTCGAGCCTGAGGGAAGACGCAGCACCCGAGGGCGAGCGTGTGTGAGGAGTCGGAATGGGCACCCGCCGGCTCGCTGGGGTCGCGGTCCTGGCAGTTCAAGCCTTGGGTGGCTCGTGTGCGACTCCTTGACTGGGGTGTGAATGCTCGGGCAGCGGCTTCTCCCTTAACAAGAGCTATGGTTCTTCAGATGACAAATAGCTACTCTGACAAAGCCAAGCATAAAAGCATAAGGTATGCAAGGAGTTCAGAACTAAAGTAACATAGATCTTAAAATTGCTGACGTCTGTAAACACTGTTTTGCAACAGTTTTTAATATGTGAAATGATGCACGCTGAAGATCATGAATCGATCAAATTGTAGTGATGGGTGTAAGATGACAGCATAAACTAGAGAATGGAAGCAGTGCCTAGTTCGTACTACTTATCTCTGGTCTGACAGCATTTTCCGTCATAAATCTGTTTGGTTTATAACTAGGCCATAAAACCTTACTTCAGGTTGAAATGTCGCAGGATATGCTGTAGTTCAAAAATTGTGCTTTTATAGAAAAATACATCAGTAATTTTGTAAATTAAAATTGCAGCACTTTAAAAATTACTTATATTTCTTTTGCACTCTTATAACTTGTGCTTTTTGGACTGGATTTATACGCTATATTAATCTGTGTGATCAATCCTATTTAAAACTTGCTGTCTCCTTGGCTTCATCAAAATCCTTTTGCAGTGAGTTTTATATATACAGGTGTGACTTGGAAAATACTCCTTCATACTTTTTGTAATCGGATGGCGGAACTTGCTGAAACTTCACAGGAGGTCGATGAGCCTAAAGTTTGGGTTTGTTTTGTTTAAAAGAGTGGATGTGTATAAGGGTAACTAGAACACATAGTTGTTAGAAACTGAAGGAGTATTTACAATCCTTAGCTTCACTCTGTTAGGAGATTTAGTGTCAGTTTATCCCATGTTTCTTCTTCACATTCTTAACGCTTCATCTGATCTACTTGGAATTGACCAGTCTTGCAGACAGGAAACAAGCATGTGGAGCACAACGGAGCCTCGCAAGTCCCTGTGTTTCTACTGAACACTAAAAGTAGATCGGTGTAGTCTATTTTAAAATGATCTAAACATTGAGCATATACATCCTGCAGCCCTCGATTAATGGAAAAACTAAGAGCTCTATTTTAGAATGACAAGATCTTTTTATTATCATACCACTAATAACAAAAGGATGGTGGCATCAGATGACCTACTGTGATCTGTACCATCTCTTGCAGTCACATTAGAAATAATCTGTAAATCAGTTTGACAGAGTTCATCAATTTGAGCAATATATGCTGGATACACACCCCAGTACACATGCTGAGAGGGTCAAATTACCGTTAGTTCAAAATCCAGTCTGTTTTTTGTAGAATGTTGTGAAATCAAGTGGAAGGAATAAAACACAATCAGTGACAGAGGGAGAGTTAACACCAGCTGACAAGAGACAGGTTACAAGCATTTGGCAATTGTAGAGCTTTGCATTCAGTTTGTACGCCGAGTGTGTGTGCCAGGAAGAACACCAAAAGAAAGCTTTTAAGGCAAAATAGGTTATAGTTTCTCGCTCTTCGATAGTGGGGAGGGCTGCAGCAAGGAGTGTGGCTCTTGCAGGCCTGCTCTTCAGGTCCGGGCAGTGTTACAGGGGTAACACTGTTTTGCCCCTGACAGGGCAGTTCACTTTGTCCCCAGAGAATCGGGGTATCTGTAGGGCAGCTGCAGCTATTGCTATCCAGTCTGGGAAAGAGGAAGACTGTGGGTCATACATGGGTTTAAATGATAGTGAGTTTGGTCCCAGTTCTACGTATCGCCTCTGAGGTTCAGCTTCTTTGATTTAAGACTTTTTAAGGTAATATCTTTGTTCTAGCTTTAGTATTTGTCTAATGAGAGACACCTTTTGTCACCTGAGGTATAATGTTTCATGCAATAGTTATTCCTACTGTTTACTTTGAAGAAATTGGAGATTTAGTATTTGTGAGGCAAAAGGAAAAATAATACCGTAACTGAAATCTTCTTTATTCACAAGCCAAATGTAACGCAGTAATTCACACTGTGAGGTTTCATATACGGCACTAGCATTGTCCATCCCCTTTGTTCACAGGGAGTCGCCGTGCACGTGTACTTCACGAAAAAACTGCCAAGTGTAACTTTGCTTTTTTCAAGGGGACAATTTTGTACTGGTGGAACTCTCTTCCTATCCCAACTTCAATGTGATCCAGGATCTCTGAGCTCAGTGATGATCTTGGAACAGTGGAAGGCAGAGATTTTTGCAGGTGCAATGTTGTAATCTTTTTGGCTAGTATGGCTGGTATTGTAGTACCTGGTAGTTTTAACTTTTTGAATTCAGAAATTTGGTCATGTGATTTGAAGCAGTTGCCTGGTTTGTAGTCTGTTGCCTCAGGAGGGTTGCTCCTTCAGCCTCTTGCAGGACTGCAAGAGGCAAACCAAAACACAACCCCTCCAGCCTGAGCCTGGTCTCTTCACTGAAAAGCGTGCTGCTATAGCCAGTGATTTTTTTTTCATAAACTTTGCCCTCCTTCCTTCCACCCCTAATTAAAAAACAGCAGCTTGAGAGCACAGCAGCAAATGCACATTAATATCAAACAGAATTTTCACTACCATTTTCATATTAACATGAGATGTCAGAATGTAAAGTTAGCTAGATCTGCACATGGGACCATTCCTGCTGTTAAAGGCTTTATACTGGAATGGAGCCCACAATTTTTAGAAGAAATGCAACATTTCCAGATCAAATATTAATTACATGCTATATAGAACCATATTTTTCAAACAAATTTTATAAATAAAAAGCTAGGCCTTCCAAACCATCAGCAATATTAATTTTGGATTTGAAAGATTATGAAAGATAAACAGCCATGTAACTGTGAATTAGAAAAATACTGGCCTAGGTTGCATAAAAACCTCCATTAAATAAATACTGTAAGTTTTCACTATGAAAATTCAGTGGCATTGTACTTTAAAAAAACATAATGAATTAACCATCCATTAATGATACTCAAGTTGTTTTTCACAAATCACATACACATACAGGAAGTCAGATGGCCAAAAGAGGCTATATACTGGATTAATGCACAGTTTGACAGAAAGTACTCTTGATATGCTTCTGGTCCTTCATCATAACTTCCTGACTGTTGCTGCAGTTATCAGCTGCAAATCCTGTTACCCTCCTCCTCTAGGTTGCCTTGCTGTCCCAGGAGGTCCAACACCCGAAGGCTGATACAGTAGGTGACTGTGATTGCGGTCTTGTGCATTCATCCCTCAGACCACTGGTTTAACCTCAGGGTGATTTACAGTGAGTGGTTCTGGTTTCCAGTCTGGTTGGAAAAAGTGAATATTGAATGTCCGTGCCCAGTTCTCAAACACTCGTTTCTCTGTGATGAAACGATGATGACTGCCCTTTCGTCCCCGCTCGTGTGAAATGTACATTGTGCATTCATCAGGTCCCAAAGGTTCATAATAATGATAAGGTACTGAAAGATGATTAGGATCCCTGTGGAAGAAAGAAAATAGATGGAAGCCTGAGATGTTCTTTTTTTCCTGATTGAAAAGATGCTATCTTTAATAAACTGATGGGCTCAAATCCACTTTTTCTCCCAGTTAAACCAAATTTCTAGGTAGCTGTATTTTTCTTGCATATTTAATACATCAGAATGGGGCAAAGGTGTTTTCTTTGCTCTTTCTATTGCTCTCCTCTAATCCCCTCCTCCCAGTTAAATAAAGGACAGCAGTAGCTCAAAAACAAGGGAGAGTGCTGCAGGGCTGTGTTACTACTATGAAATTTGAAGCAAGCTGCTTAAAAAAGATTTATATCTAGATTGTGACTCGTAAAAAGCCTTGCAGAGGTATTTACTGAACTGGGGGAAGAAAGGGAAGGGGAAGATAGAGGGGAGGCGGTTATCTGTGTCACATCAGCTCTGTTGAACATTCCCAGCACGGTGCACGAGGTTCTGAGTGCACAACTTCAATGGGAGTATCTGCATGCCAGGTCAGTGATACAGTCTGCTGTTGCTGGGTTTATAATCAAACATCTGATGCACAAATGACTTCTTTTTGATTTTTACAATGGCAACTTTCATGTATCTAAGCTAAAAATTAAAACCATTCACCCATAGTATTCTTCTGACCCTGTGAGCCCATCGGCATTAACCAGCAGGAGATGAGTACTCATGTGGTGACATGTAGGATATGCCAAAGACCAATTAGATATTTAGGATAAAGTTCATTTTTAGCAGTTCTAACCTCAATGTTTTGATGTTACATTCTGTAAAAGGCACATTTGTCTTGTAATAAGCCAGAGTGATTCATTCTCCTTTTGTCTTATTCTCTACATTAAACTGTACCCATTATGTTTTTACTTTGGGCCACAGGCATTTTGGGCTGACAAGAACTCATACAACCCTCTCTGACATAAATTCAAAGAAAGAGAGATAGCTGTCCCAGACAGAATAACCCAATGGTACTGATCTCCACAGTTGCTACTAACTATTCTGTAGTGGCAGAAAAGTTAATCCAAATATTACCATTTAGTGAAGCTGTGGAACTGCTCTATGTTAAAGCCTGAGCTGAACAGGACCCTAGTACAAAGCAAGAAATCTCATGCAGATTCAGGGCTGTCAGCTCTAATACAGAGTTGATTATTTTCATCTTGAAGAGCTAATATTGAAGCTCACTTTCAATTGAATGCATCCACTATCTGTCAGTATCCTGTCCTGGTCATTATTTTTACTGTGTAATTCTCTACGCAATTCTCTAATTTTTCTTATTTTAGCATTAACCATATTGTATATGCAGTGGTAATGTATGATATTGCTGCTGCTTTCCATTTGTACCTTAGATTAACGTTTTAATTCAATCAATCTAGCTTCCTGGTAACACAACACGGTGATCAATCTTACAAGACCAGAATAACAATAAAATTACATTTCTAGAATAAGATGGATTCTAAATCTACTGTATATATTCTCACCGGAATACATACGAGTGAAAAGAAATTCTTCAATACCTCACCTACAGAAAACATTTGTAATGTAAAAAATAGCCTGCATATAGAAATCTAATAACTTTTTTTAGCTACAACTATTAGACCTTGATCTTCAATTAATTTTTCACAACTTTTTTGATACATTGGACCTCTCATTATCATCTCTTAAATGAATCATTTGTATGGTTACTGTAAATCTAACAGCATACATTTTAATGGGATTTATTTTTTCTTAAGAACTACTGAAGAAATAGACCTCTGCCTCTCATTCAGACTGCTCTTCCTTTCTGCACTGAAGCTGAATTTTACTTTTGTGTTCTCGAGGGTAAACCTTTGTTGCTCAGTGTAAATTTACTGCTTTAAAATTAGGATTATTAAAGTTGGAATCGTATCTCCAACAGACTGAACAAATGCAGTCACAGTGGAAATAAGTTGACTGCTGAGGGCCCAGTACTGCAAAGTGAGCCTCTGCAAGGCTGCTGGCCCCAATACCTCTGGGTAGATTTGGTTGGGATCCTCCCTCTGCTGCCCCACCCCACCCCTTTTTTTTTATGAAGGCCTGAGTTGGGTTTGCAGAACATGAACTGGAAGAGCAAAAAGCAGGAAATTAATCGCTGTATGGCTCTTCCCTATTCCTTTGCTGTACGCTGAAAGTAGCAATGGATGATGGTGATAACTGGAATCAGATTTCTCACGGAGGACTTACAGGAATGCTGGTCATTTTTTTTCCTCTCTGCACAAACCCCAAAGTATACAGGTACAAAGGATAGGTGGATCAGACGGAGAGAGGAAGGCGAGAAGCCTTGATAGTGGTCCTCCCTCTTCTCCCTCACTCTGGTAACTTAGTACTTACATAGGGTTACACTCTTCTGTTGCCCCTGAAGCAACATTTTGAAGCCCATACCTCCCAGTAAGTCCTTTATCTCTTATATTATCAGTATTCTACCACTGGCTTTCTCTTTTGAAGACAGGGATTCCGCATTACATCAAAGGCTCTGAAGCTAACACCAGAGTATCCTAGGTGGATGCCCTTAGCTCCAGGCTGTAACAGGCCACTATATTTCGTGCAATGACCTGTTAGAAACAGTGCAGAAATACCTGCTGCACAGGGCCCGGCAGGAGAGAGAGGCAGAGGAGCACAGTCCGGGCACCCTGTTGGGTTCAGGCATCCCCTGATGAGTGCTCTCAAGGCTCGTATGCACATCTACTGGCTGAATTGGAGGTGAATTCAATGCAAAAATGAAAATGCTGGTAGCTTTAGACCTCTCCAAGACTACTCTGCAGCTGACAGGCTTTGAGGCTAAATTCCAAATGTATTTTGGATTTAGGAACTCTGAAAGGCAGTTAGATACCTAGGACATTTTGTCTGAAGTCTCGCCTTTCATGGGAGTTCTGGATTCCCCTAGATTGCATGCTAATAAGGTTTGGATTTGAACTCTGGCTTGAGTAACTACACCATAACCCAAATTAACTGTACTGTGTTATCTTCTAACTCTGCAATTAGCTTGTGTCACCAGCAAATGAAATGCATGAGTAATTTCTATTCGGAAATTGCTTGCCACCTCATTTATTAACATTAAAACAGATGCTGTTTTATCACTGACTGATACTGGACATTAATCAGTATTTTGTCAGACTTTGCATGCATATTAATATCACAGCTGGGAGGAATCTAGGAAAGTTCCTCTGTAAAATATACTATACTTCCTGCCTAATAGCCTGCCAGCACAGCAACTGTGTAAGTGCTTGTACCCAATGTCAGTCATCTACTGTTTGCCACTTCAGTGCACATTTTCCCACAGATGGTATCCACCCACAGTGAAAGCTGAAAATACAGCAAACAGTGTTTGCCTCAAAAGAAACAAGGCAGAAAAACAAGGCCAACCTATACCACGTTCTGGTCAACCTCTTCCTTTACAAATGAAGAGCCATTATAAATCAACCCACTAAAACCATATGGACTCACATGCTTTGTAAAATAATTTGTATTTTGAAATTTTGAAGGGTGACTAAATTGTCATTAATATGTTGAGTGATGGGCAAGGTGCTGTGCCAGGACTATGAAGAAAGATTTCTGGATCATTTTTTGCCTTCTATGCTCAGGATCCCATTTCCTTGACCTCCATACTAGCCCTGTTTTCCAAACCATTTATGCACTTCGTTATTAAGTTATTAAGGTAATGAGGTGAGATTCAGGTATATGGACCAAAGGGCATGACTATCTCCCATACAGTTTACAATCCTGTGAGCAACCTTCTTCTATCAAGCCCTTGATAAGCCCCAGGAAATGTAACTAGCACAACTGCTTCTTTGCACTTGATTTAAAGCAACTGAAAGTGGAGAGAGGGAGGTAAGAAAACACTAGATTTAAAAGCGGTACCCAAAGGAACAAATTAAAGGATTTCAAATGCCAATTTTCAGGCAAATTATCACAGATGGGAAATGGCCTGGCAGTCAAATGAGGATTCTTGCAGGAAAATGATCTGGCTGCATAATTGGAGCAAAAATTATTCATATTAGTTAAAATCAGGCTCAGAATTAAGTTTGTAAGTTTCTGTGAGTTCCAGAAGGCCCATGAAGAGGAGGGGGTGTTAAAGACGACTCTTCTCACTAACACTTTGAGTTTTCCTTGTGTGCCTGTGCACCCAGAGATATCTGCAAGGAACCAACCTCTCACTGCTGCTGACACTCCAGTGGACAGGAATTGGAGTTACTACAAGCCACATTAGGGCTTGTCTGTGTCCTTCCCACCAATGCTGCTGAGCAGCCACTAAGAAAAGCAGCAGCATTGCAGAGCCTTCAGGAATTGTGGTGCTATCTGTGCACCACATTCTGGCTGCTGATGTAGGGAGGCAAGGGAAAAATCCTTGATGTCCCAGTTCAGGAGTGAGTCCTGTGCATACAGCAGGCTGCCAAAGGGAGCTCAGAGAGGGAAATGCTTCCCATCTGGGGTGCCAGTTTGCTCATCCCTGGGCACTGAAAAAAAAATACAGCAAGATGTGACAAAAGAGTGAGAGGTGCACACACTCTCCAAAATCTTTGCACTGTGCTTGGAAGCATAAGCTTCCATCTTATTCTAGAATGTGCAAGTCAGATGTATTTAACAGCATGAGAGCAATATCAAAGCCCTTAACCCTTACGACAGCATAAATCTGTGGCAAAGTAAAGGGATTTGATATTGCATATAGCTTTGCTGTAAAGTACTGGAAATTTATAATAATCAGGTTACCAATTCCAGTTCAGCTATAAAAATCAATGTCCAGTGAAAGTAAATAGAAATGAATCTAAAACACTTTTGTTGCAATTAATAGTGACAAATCTTTTAGTCTGTACTCCAGACTCCTTCACTAGACTATTTTTCCTGCATGGGTGGGAAGCAATTTGGTTAATGATCTTAAGCTAATAATTTGTAGTAGAATCAACAGTATGATATTCACGATACCTTTGAGATGTCCTTCACGTTACAGATGTGATACTAATTTAGTTCCATGACAGTGATCACCCACGCTCATTACTTACTCCACAAATTAATACTTAAAAAATAATGGGTGCTGAAGTTGTAAATTCAGTGATACCAACTCTGAATAGAAATAAGAGTATTAATTTTTTTTTTTAATCTTAATGATTCTTCAGTTGCATAGTAACTAAAGTACCTACACCATTTTGCACACGGATGAGAGAGGTAGGGTGGTGGTGGTGGGGGTGTTATTGTTGTTTTGGTTTGGGGGTTTTTTTTGAATGATAGATTTGTATTTTGTCTGACTGAAAACCGGGAAATATGGCTTAAAATTACAGAATCTTTCTTTCTGCTATTCTATTTTGCTGTCTTATTTCTTTGAAAGGAAGCACTGTTTAACTTCTTAAGGAGTGGCTGAAGAGCAAACTAAAAAGGTTAACTGCATTTGTGGCAAGGTGTTCCTTTCATAGATCTTCATGTATAGCTTCTTCCAGGCATGACAACTACAATTTTCCCCTTCATCATCTGGGGAATAAACCTGAAGTAAAGACACTTTATATTATTTTGATTAAGAAATGACCTTTTACCTTTTTATGACCAGGTGAGTATACCTTTATGTTAAGATTTTTTTATGCGGGCTGTAAGCATTATTGCTTCTCTTGATGGTAGGCTCGATTAAAACCTTTCTTGTGTTATAATTTAATATTATGTCTATCTGATTTCAGTGTATCAATTCTATGAAAGCCTTTCATATGGTTTCAGTGACAATTTTAACCTCTCTTAAAAACAGTTTTGTTCTGTTTTTTTTTAAGTTATGTACATGTATCTAAACTAATCTGACTTTGCCTGAAAAGTTAGGATTGAGCATTGCTATGCAGTGAACTGCTGTCTTCTGCATTTTTAGATCATCAGTTTATTTAAGAATTACTTTCATGTGCCACTGAAATACAGCCACTTCTGAAGACAGACAGACCAGCCACTTACAGAAACTGAAGTGCGTCTTGGCCAACTGAAATGACAGGGGAACTGAAATGCTGTGCTGTGGAAGGTATTTATGTTGTCTGGAATATCTGATCTAGTTTGTTATTTTCCTTGGAGAATTCATGATGAAATCTGGCAGTACATCACAGCATTTATCATCAGTGTTTTGTTATAATTTGTAGAAATTCTCATGAAGTGGAATTTAGTGTTGACATTTTACACTGTAATTTCTTCAGGGATTTCTAGTGTGGGCCCAGGACAAATGCAGATTCCTGAATGATCCTTTTCAGTGCTCAGAAGAAAGTCAAAGCAGTCCTGCTCTTTGATAGATGAGCTAACCTACCACTGCAGCCTTGCTCCCCTTGCCCCTGCAAGGCATCTTGAATTAGTCCATGAACCAGACTTCAGTGAGATCACTAAATTTGCAACAGAAAACTCAAGCGAGTACTTCTTGGTGAAGGGGATTTGTGAGCAGGTGATGAAACGTTACACTGATGCCTGCCATCGGTCCAGACTGCCATTACTAGCTCTGTGCATTACTGGGTCACCTAACAGTGCAAATGGGATCAGGACTAGGTGTGGACGCATAACCACGTTTTTCTGAAAGGCCGGAGTGCTAGGCCTAGTAATGGATGGACAGGTGATATTTAAGTCAGCATAAAGATTGCTGATGTAAAACAAATTTGTGTGAATTATAGCGGATCAGTACTTTGCATCATGTGGCCAATGTGATCTTGGTCCAGTACCGGAAGTCCTGAAGACTTTCCCTGTATCACTGATTCATAGTGCGAAAACTTAACCAGGGCCTTGGGTCCCAGTCCTGAATATGGCTGGAGGCACAAAGTAGCTGTAAAATGTACACAAGCTGTTACTTTATAAAACAAGGTGAAGGGGTCACACAGCTTCCACTGACAGAATTTGTGTGCTGCTTCTACTGCTTGTGGCCCACACCCTGCATGCCCAAAATGGATGATTAAAGGACTGATCATCTCTTCTGTGGGTCCAAATTCTGGGGTTTTTTTTTGGCGGGGATTATTTAGGAAGCTAGTTTACTGGAAGATTGGGATTCATGTGACAGAGATGAAACAATCTTAATCTGAGTTGTGTAGGAAGTTCAATTTAGAAACTAGTCACTGTGAGAACTCTGTTCCTCTATTAACTGGGGGGAAACTTTAAAAACAAATTGAAAGTAACATTTTCTAGTACTCCTTTTTTCAGATTAATTTCATGCCAATTATTACATTACTTTTAGCTGATAAATATTCAGAGACTAAAAGAAACCAACAAGATGGATTAATTCTCCCACACTACAAACAAAATTTTTAAATATTTTATATAACATAATTAAATGCTGTTTGTTGTTTTCAGAATCAGATCTTGGGACATGTTAATTAATTGCTTTAAGAGGACTGAAGACATATTGCAGAGAAAAAAACCTAAAAGATTCAGATATTTATCTGTAATGTTCAACCTTGTTGGCTAATAATGGTTCCAAAATAAATCCTACCTGCAGAAATCCGGTGGCACCATGCCATAAACATTTATCCTGTCACAGAGCTCTAATGCGATAGTCATTGTGAACCAGCCCGTGCTAAGCCAAGTGTTGGATATCTTCCTGAAAGCAAAAACATAATTAAGTTTCTAGGCTAACAAATAATTCTTGAGATATCTGAAGCAATTTCTGGGCATTTTTTTCATTCTTGTGAAAGGTTATGAAAATTGGGCAACCAAGACTACTTTGATCGTTCATCTTTTAATGGTTTTGCTAGTGTCTTCTGTCAGTAGACCAATCTATGCAGAAACTGCCCTTGCTGTAATTAATTTTTGGGCACAGCAATGTTAATATTTAGCTGACCTTTTGGCAAGTTTACTTTAAGTGACTGAAACTTCATGTCCTATATTTATATTCCTCTGCTAGTAATCTATACACATCTATAATCACTTAATGGAGCTTACACACTAAGTGCTCAGGAAGACGCATCATGGGGGATGAAGAGGGCTGCTTAAAATGCTGCCTCCCACAGCACACAGAGGAGCCTGTCTGTTGGAGCAAGATCTGGCCTCAAGTGCTTGGTCTAACCATCTTTCCTCCCACCCCGTCCATGATTTGGTTTCTAGAAGCTCCCAGCCACTCACTGTGACTGCTGGCAGGAAACTTGTAGTTAGCTGCATCTATGCCTGTCCCTTACCCAGCCTGGGAGATCTTCATCCTAAGTGCTACCCCTCTGCCTGCCCCGAGTCCCATCCCTGCCTGGTGGGACCTCTGAATGTGAATGACAGTGCTGCAAGGGAGCCCTCTAAGGCAGCTCCTTTCCTGGCATCCTCTGCAGGCTAGGAGAAATCTTCAAAAGAAGCACAACTGATCTCAGCATTATTTATGCAAAATAGGAGATATCTCCATGTAACTGCTCACAGATATAAGACGTTTACAAGATGTGCTTAAATTTTGCACAGGTTCTTATCTGCAAAATGGCAATAGTAACATTTCCTCTCCCTAGCATTTGCTCGTCATTGCTGTTTAGGGTGTAAGAGCTGGGCACTATAATGGTTACTGGTTGCCTAGCACATGCACTGGAAGTCCCAGTCCTGTGTTAAGTTCTTGCACTGTCCCTACACCAGCAGAGAGCTGGCAGTTTTGGGACAGGAGGGTCAAGAAAATGCCAGTGAGGAGCATGTCTTAAAGATGTCGTAAAGGCATATTTAGGAGCAGCCCTACGGGACCAAGTCAGGCACCACTCTTAGAAATGGAGGCACATAAAGAAGTCAGGTATTTGCTCCAGAGAAAACAAGTTCACTCAAAGGTCTCCTTTCAAGTACTGTTAAAGGAGACAGCAGGTCTCCCTAATGGCTCCTCAGCTAGAAAAGTCCTGCAGGAAGAAGTTCAAGCTTGTGTCATTTGCGACCCAAAAAGGCCTCAGATTCCTGATGACAGCCTGTCACAGTGACTGGCTCTCCTTACATCTCTTACCAAAGCTGAGGCACTGTGAGAGCAAGTGCAGGCTCTTGGATGGCTTATGCGCTGTGTCAGATTGTACTAATACGGAACACACATTAACCCCATCCCACCACACCTATATCTGCCTGACACCTGCAAAATTTTGTGACACCCCCCCCCCAAAAAAAAAGCACAGCAGAGAACATGAGGTTCTCATCAAAGCAGTCACCTGGGAATCCCAGGTCCTGAGCCCAGTTCTTTTACAGTTTACCCAGTGATAGCAGAATGCACAACAGTCCTGGAAGCGGGGACCTGAAGTCAGAACAGCCACTGCAAGCAAGTGCCAGCAATCACTAATAAGTAGTTCAGCAGGCAACAGCCCACCATAACAGCTTCCCAAGCTAATGCTAAACAAGTTGGTTCCAAGTAGGTCACCTACAGGGCAGTAGGAGGGGGATGTTTTGAGCACTGTCAGATTGAGGAATGCCTTGTACCAAGGTTTCCGATTTCCTCAGTGAATTAGACTATTGCAAAGAAAAAAACCCAAGTAGTGGTATCAGTGCTGGTTGCTTAAAAGGCACTTCTAAACATAAGGGAATTCTTTAACCAAAAATGCCTGAAGGATGCTGGGTAATTTGTCCTGTCCTTTGTGGGTCACCTGGTAATGTATGAACTGAAACGTATGTTTTTACTGCTCCTGACATATAGACTTTCAGGCTAAGCTATCATTTGGAGAATAACATGATTTAAGCATCTCATTAGTTCCAATTATGGGGCCTTATTTATTTTCTGAATTTGCACTTAAGCTTGGGGGTGGTGGTGCAATTTGTCACAATGTCATAGCTGGGTCATAAGCTCAGCAGAGGCCTTCAGGCACTGCAACAATACAAAACAGTAAATAATAATTTTTGGCTCAAAATTATTAGGAAAGGGAAAGGTAGGGAAAAGCCTAAAAAATTTGCTTTCCTGCCGCTTGAGTGTTTCTGAGCCTATGAACTGCTAGGTAATTCAGGAACATGTTCAGGCTAAGAGTACTTTGGAGCTTGCATAAGGCCACTGTTTTAGGTGCCTAAGACCTCATATTCCAAAACCAAGGGAGCAATTATATCGAGACCATGACCAAAGTGGCTGGGCTTTGCACAGGTCAGGCAACCCAGCTAGGCTGTCTGCTGAGTTAGTTTTCTTTTTGCTTACACACACTTACGCTGTAATTTAGTGTTTTCAATAAACAGGAGAATAACTGAATTTAAATAAACTATTTTAAAAGCTAAACAATGAAATAAAGATTTAAGAACTTACTCAAGTACCACTTCGGCCTCTTTAAATACCATGTCTGTAGGACAGCAATATAGAAACAGGGTTACAGTGTCTTGCCTTTTCATAAAAGATCTGAACAAGAGTCCAACAAAAGAATACTGTTTTTATACCTAATCAGCTGTAATGAAAGAATATGAAGAACTGTCATGTGCTTATTAGGGGAAATTATCAGATATTCTTTTATATGATGAACTAACACACTGTGCTGATAATTCTGTAGTGCACACTAAATTACAATTAAAGGCCTTTCTGCTCCACCAAAATCTCATTTATAATCTCTATGGAAATACTCTTCCTGCAGTTATTTCATTTATGCTTCCTTTATCTAATTACTATAATATTGGTTCTGAATCGTATTTTCTTAATGTACCCTTATTCAATTATAAAGTTATTTTCAAGTACAGTTACTTTATAATACCAAGTATATTGCTCTGCATCCTTTGTCATTCACCATACTATTTAACTGGCAATGTTTTCTGAAGGTTTCCCTTCATTTCAAAATCAGCTTTTTTTTCAAAAAGCACAATACATCCAATTACCTTTTTTCTCATCATTTTCAAGACAGAAATGAACGGTTTGATTATTGCAACCTTTCAATCAGGCTTCTCTCTCCCTCCTTTGTTTTTTGCAGGCACTAATGTCAAGAGCTCAGCAGAAATGTCCCAGGGAACAGCAACATTCTGGGCTATACAATGTTCCGCTCCTGTCCCCACAGCTACATAAATTTTCCTCCATTACAAATTCCTTCCTACCCATGTTTCTTTTCATCTTCCCTCTGTTTTTCTGTGCTGCCTATTCATTTATTTTCATCTCCCGTTTTAATCTTCTTAGTCCTTCAAGTATGCTGTATGTGCCCTCTAAAGGAGCGGTTCATACACAGCAGAGCCTGCAATTTCTTAAAAGCAACAGGACCTGTTCAAGAGGCTGAATTTTGCTGGCATCCAAGTGCCCTTGATTCACACTGGGAGTTCAGGGTGACCATAACTGAGTCCACTATAAACTTGTTACAATGTCATTAATGTCTCAAATGCCTTGAGAATATTTCAGGAGCCAAGACTGAGCCTGGTGCCTGTGCAGAAAAAGAAATGCTTTCATCACATGCACAGCTATATGCCTCCTGCTCCAGATGGGTGATGCAGAACCAGAAAGAGCAGCTTGCCTGAAACTGCACAGCAAGTGTCAGGAAAGGAATGGGACCCTGGCTCCCCATGGCAGAACTGGCCAGACTGAAGCAGAGGAGGTAAACTGTTCCTCAAAACTAGGGACTGCATGTGGCCTTACGCTGAAAGAGTAATCCAGGAAAGGAGATGGCAGTGTGCATTCCTTGTGCACAGGGTCTGACTCTTAGGGCTGATGGTGGCCCGTGCTACAGTGCAACTACAGGCTTTGTTAACTTTCATGCCTTTGAAAATACTGGGCATACAGATAATCCTTTGCACTTTTCTTGAAGGGTTCAAATGCTTAATTCACCTTCTCACTTCGCTCTACTCTGGGTGAACAAACCTGGAAAAGACATCAGAACTGGCAGGGTATCCCCCCTTGTTATCCTTCCTTCTTGTTCTGGCAGAGGCAGAGTCTCTGGCAGAGACTTTGAGGATGAAGAGAAAAGGACCTTTAATGGTAAGAAACTGACCAAGTTACTGTGTGCTCTAGTGCTAGCGTGTGTCAATCAAGATCTCAGATACATAATTTGACCCGCTATAACTGAACAGGGTTCTGCAAGCAACCATGTGGGGTATGACAAAGGCAGCAAATGCCAAGCAAAGATACAGTCGCCGTCAGTGAAGAGGATACAACAGTTTCCTCTAACACCAGTTCTGCCTTTGTTGTGCAGCCCAGAAAAGAAAGTCCATGCTCTTGAGTCCTACCTGTCCACAACAGGATTGAGCCCAGCTCCAAGCTTTGGTGTGTATGTATAGTATTTGTGAAGCTAGAAAAATCTCATCATGAGTTACTGCACAATAAACCTACCTCTTCATTTGTACCTAAGTGGATACCCTGTTCCATTTTTACAGCAGCATATTTTGTAAGTAAAAAATAGGAGTTCATTAAAAATAGATGTATTTCTTGCTAGGAAGTCTTTGGTTTAAATGCCCATTTTCAAACATTATATGTGAAAATGCTCAAGTCCTGCAGTGGGTCACTTACTAAAAATTTGATTTGAAGATCAGCCTACAAGTCATAAACAGTCTCATAAAGATGTAACTATCATAATAACTTTCCTTTTCCCAGTTGGAAATACAAGATGAACTGTTCTGAAGCACCTAATGTATGACTAATGTTTATTTGTTTTACAAGAAGCTTTACAGCTGCACTGTTCCAAGAATGCTTAAATTCAATAAACAGCTATTATAATTCACTGAATGGTGGCATTTCCTCTATAAGAAAACATAACCTATCCATTCTGATTTTTCAGAATCAGTAAAAAACTTTCAGGTATATTACCCCAAAGTGAGATTTAAACAGCTCCTGCCTCCTTGGCTGTATAAACAGTACATCCAGATTCTGGTATTCTAAGTTGATAAGGCAATACTGCATACAAATTATTTTGATGCCTATTTTTTACTTATGTTACAAGTGATGTTATTTGGCATGTCATACCATACTGCAAGTCATGAGGCAGACGATTTAATGGGTGTGATGGTCCCTCTGAGCAGATCTGAAATTGGTATATATAACTACATTATTTTACTGCTGTATGACAAGCCCCAAATGTATCCACATAAGTTCTCACCTGTCTTTCCCAGTTTCCCGTTTAAAAAGGTCATCAAATTGAAGCATCTTGTGGCGAGAAATCATATACGCTTTTAATTGAGGCAGTATCTGATTCATCAGCTGCAGGTTATTATACACCAAGCCTTTACCATCTCTCCTCATGTAGCTGCTAGGACCCCAGAAGATAAACACAGCACCACGGCTCATATTTAAGAGTTCGTTGCGATTTCGCAAAATCCTCTGAATACTGGAGTGTGCAATGACTCGAAGGCTTGTTTTGTTTCCAACATCTTTTCCATAACCTCGAGTGGGTGCATCATTCATTCGTATTACACACTCTGTCTCGTCGATTCTGTCACCTTGTTTACTTCCCAGAAGGTGTCCAGAGCTGGTTACCAATGCACAACTCTTGCAGTGCATTTTTAAAGGCTGCAAAGACATACATACTTCAAAATTAGCTGTAGACATCTTCCCATTCACTACATGATAACTATATTTTTACATGTACATAGCATATTTTACAGCAAAAATCTCAGAGGACTTTACATAAATCTCTCCCAGCAGTCTTCCCAAATAACTGGGGACACATTACCTGTACATTTTGTAGGTGTGGAAAACGTCGTATAGGTATAGCCCTTAAAGTTCCTCTGTGGAGTTAAGTCTACTGCTTAAATCCTCCTTTCCACTGCTGGTTCATATACAGTAATTGCAACAGCTTCTATACTGTTCCCAGCTGCTTAGGATTGTACTTCTTCCACTTGCCATAAATGAGCTGTAATTGTAGTATTTTTGATTCTTCCTCTTCCAATTTTTTTGGAAGTTCTCATAAGCACAGATGTGAATGGCTTTTCAACCTTGGGGTCAGGACATTTTGCTAAGGGAAGAGAGTTATACCCTGGGTCCAATCCTTCCATGCTGTTTCCAAGTTGGTGCCATAACCACTGCAGTGCTCTCGTACCTCCTTTGTGGTTCAACAGTCAGAGCTGGTCATTAATGTCTGATGGTGAGTTGGTGCACTGAACTTTTTCTAGTCTGTCAGGTCATGTTTAAATGTTACACAGTAAAATGGAACAGGAGGTGCCTTAAGTGGCTGACCTAATGGAATCAGGAGAGTAAACCAAGCTTTCATGAAAATGAAAATGCATGATAGATTGTATTAGTGAAGTATGCCACCAATATAGAGATCAATAAGAGTATGTAAGTGTATCTGCTGCTCAGCATGAGAACTAAAAAGGGGCAAAGGGTTAACAGTATCCCCACAGCGCTACTTTCTAACAAGAATACAATAAACTGGGAGGTAAAGACTGCAGGTGTGCCTTGGTGGCCCTCCATCAAACAGTATCTTGCAGCATTTAAGACCCATAACATCAGATTACAGAACATACATGGTGTGTATCTTACTGTTTGGGGGGGGGGGGGAAGGCAGGGACTGAACTGCGGTTGCTCACCAGTCTGAGGTTCCTTGGAAGGCCATTTTGGTTCATGATCATCTTGATCTACTGATCTTCCTCCCTACGTATGTCCACCAGAATTTTATTTTCATCGTTAACCATACAGAATGGCATTCCAATACCTTCCTGGTGAGTAACAGGCTTGTTTAATTCCAGAGGCTCCAAATTGGACACACAACATGCTGAGAGCAGTTGTCTCCTGCACTGTGGCATTGGCCTGATCCTGTAGTATACCAAGGAGGTGACAGTATTCATTGGCTCTGAAGAGCACTAGCAACCTAAACACATCTTTGACAATAAGGGCCTCAGCACCTCAAGATCAAACCTTGTGGCTCTGCATGGCAGCTCGTTGTTGACACCATGACAAACATAGCTAGCATGTCTCCAGGTGTAAACTTGGTGGGTTTATTAGCAATGAGGAGAAGTTACGGTGACATGTAATTACACTTAGTATCAAACACACGTATATAGCAATCAAATGAGTAAATCAGTGTGCAGTGAGGCACAGCTTAAAACTCTAAAGCTGGAAAGAAGACATAACCTAGGTTTGAGATAATCTCAGTCCCCTGTTTAAAAATGCTTTGGCTCCTAGTATTTGAAGAGGGTATTTTACTTAAGTAACTTCTTTTTCATTTTGAAGGTATTAAGTGGTTGCAGTCTGAACTTTTTTTCTATGAGAATAGCTAGTGAATGATGAAGTGCTTTTTAATTAAAGACAAAATAACTAAACTATACAATTTGCGTAATGATATAACCAGTAAGCTTTGTATCTCCATCTTCCCTAAACAACAAAGTCTCTTTTCTTTCACATATATGGTTTGTAATCCAGAGCTAATGATATGGGCAGAAATGTTCATGCCTTTGTAAGCCAAGGTTCCTAATGCAGTATTTACATGCATTTTCCTTTAAGCTTTCATCTGCCACTTTGATGAATTACCTAGCAAAAGGCTCTAAGGTGAACTAGCTGCTCCACCATCATGCTTGGGAAAGCAAGATGAAGTGCTAATGAGGTTAAAGGAAATGTAGTCAGCACCATTGTTAACTTACATGGGTTTGAATATCCACACAGCAAGACATTTTCACCTAAACAGTCTCTGCTGGTTTCTGGCCTACTGATCTACAACTTACTTGTTTCTTTTACAAGTCTGTCAGAGAGTCCATCCTTAGGAAACAAGGGCAACAATCAGTGGAGCTGTGGAAACTTCGGGAGGGAGGGGATGTCAACATTTGCTAGATGATAAACATTAACACCCCCCAAAACATCTGTCCCAGATCTTGTTTGAAAACTGTTCCTTCTGGGAAAAAGTCTTTAGACTGAAACATTCAGGTATTGCCTAGCTACTTCTTGAATGATGCATGGGGGCTGAGCCAGTGTAGCTGCTCCAGGCGAGTCATTTTCAGTCACCTCACTCAGATTCTTTCACTTGAAGTCTACAAAACTCGCACCTAAAAATTGTCAGAGGAATTCACAGCCAACAGCCACAACATTCTCATACCAGCTGTTTATAATGCTTTGACAATATTGAAGGCAAGGGGGGGAAAAGCTATCGGCTATAATATCATCTCATTGGGAAGCAGTGGTTGCACCAGAAATGTCATCTACTTAAGCAATAATAATGGAGGCACAAGGCAGTTCTTTGGGATTGATGACCAGCTGGGAAAAGTTGATGGCCTGAGAATAACTAGGGGCCATTAAGCCAGAAGAACATTAACTCCACAGAAAGCTCTGTGTTACAGTAATTATTACAGTGATAGTTGGGAAAAAAAGCAAACCAAAAAAAAAAAAGCAAACCTATGACATCTGAGTTGTATTTTAGGTAGGCAATGCAACTCTTCCTTCATGAGCCTCGCTTCAAAATGCCCAGAAAAGGGATAGGGTGAGAGGTAGGTCTGAGTTTTATGACATTTGTATTAATTACCTTGAAATGTAACATATCATCCATGCAAAAGCTGCTGGCATTTAATCATGCCCATTGCCAATAAGCAGCCACAGTTTCATGTGTACCCGAACTATATGTACAGCACCTTGCACAGCATAGCAGAACACGTAGCTACTTCTACAACACAAGTCAGACATATCAATACTTAGGGCACTAAGAGAGTGAACAAGCCAAGTGTCAGCCAAATAAATTGCCCAAATTAGCTCTCACTTCCAGTCACCTAAAAATATGTATGGGGAGAGGGAGAATAGACATTACAAGACAGCAAGCTCACGGTGCTAGAACCCCAGAAGATGGCAAAATCAGCTGGTGGTTTTCTGGGATAGATGGGCTATCCCAAGGGAATGAAGGGAGCAGGTGAACCTTGCTAGGTTCTGGTAAACCCTGTAACAGCAGCTTAGTGGCCATAACAAATGAGTGCAACCTTGCACTGCTCTAAGTATCATAGGCCAAACTGACTCCTGGCAACTTTCACTTAGATATATAGCCCAGTAAGTGCTGTTGCTGTATCATATACGTCTGATTTGTATAATACCAACAGACAAACAGAAACAAAAAACAATGTCACAGTTGTTTCTGTATTTTCCAATTTGAGGCAATCTACTCTACTCTGTTACTGACTTTAAAATCTGTGTTGTCCAATGACAGAAAAATGTTATTTTCACACACTTTATTGCTTGGAAAAAATCAATGGAAAAATGTTATTCCTGATTCAGAATATGTTACTCTTAGATATAATTATTTTCTTTGTGATGAAATAAAATGATCGATTTTTTTTTTCTTACAGAAGTCTTTTGATTTTAAAGCCAAGCTTTAGAAAACAAGACAATTCCCTCCAGTAAAATCACGAACACCGGAAAACACACTTTTTTCCTGTACTGAGTACTTAATGACCTAGTTTCAAGACCCCTGGGTTCAGATCATTCCATTATCAGTAGTATAAAAGTTTCGAGTATTATATCTTGGCAATCATGACTGGGGGGGTGGGGGTGGGGGGTGGAAAGACCGAAAGTCTTCTGGAATGAAGAACAGGTCATTACTGAGTTCAGCAGAAAAAGACCACGTGTCAGTTCATGAACACCAGCGTTCCTCATAGATACATCTGGAAATATTACAGCTGACTTCAAAGTGTATTGGGAGAGAGCAAAAGAGACCAAGAAAGGTTAAAGAATATCCAAATTCCTTTCAGATGAATGACCTTTAACTAAGCATTTGAGACTGAAAGTGCAAAATATCAATAAGGTACCTGACAGCTATGTTTTTCTCTTGCACTGCAACATCTCTACAGCATTTTGTTAGCCAGCGCTAGCATGCTTGTCTTCTGTCTGATCTGGAATGAAAAGCTATAGGGCTGCTTCACTCTATATTAACTACCTGAACTGTATTACTGAACCAACAACCTCCTCTGCAAGAGCTCCCAAACTGACTGCTAAAGTGAAATCAGTGGTAGAAATAAGAAGACTGATGTACAGGAAAGCAAAACTGTTTCCATTTTCAACTGAATTAATTCAGTATATTAATTGTTGAAAAAGCATACATAAACACTACAAGAGACAGTCTTACTGGTTCAGGAGAAAGCGAGCTTATTCCAGAGCAGTCTAGCTTTCTCTTTTTGTTATAAAGCAGATAATTTCATTGGTAGGAGTTTCACATCTCCCCTACCTAGTGCCCTTTGTGCCTGGCCTGAGCACCACAGCTAGCCTGTGACGCTCACTGTATGTTACCTCAGCATTTGCTTTTTATGTTCCTTGCCTTGCACACAGGGCAACTTAATCAGCATTTCATACATACATGATGTTAATGAACCCTGTGTTCACCCCACATTCAATGTAATTTATTACTTATGGCTTGTTCTTGATTGCTGGGTCATCAGCCACCGGCAACAACACTAATTAACGCACTGCCAGTAATACAGTATTTTGTTCTGGCACCTTCAGTTCTAACTTTTTACTTTCTTGTAGCTTTGAGCAGCTTTGAGGTTTCTCACAAGCTGCTGGGTCAGGACCACTGCTCCACTAGCCTGGCTGCCTCTTCCCAG